GCGCGGCGCGAGCAACTGCGCAAGCGCCGACGCAGGCCCCCGCGCAGGCGCAGACCTGCCCAATGGAGGTGTCCTACACACACGCCTGATACGGACGGACACACACACACACACACATTCCCCCCCCCCCTTCGCTGCTTCCCAGGGCTGTGTCCGTACAAAGTCACGGTGACACCAGGTGTAATTATGTTGCCGCAAATAACAGGCACAGAGTAGTCACGCACTCAGGCGGCAGGGGTCTTTGCGAACAAAGGATGCTGGGAGTGAGGTGTCCTACACACACGCCTGATACGGACGGACACACACACACACACACATTCCCCCCCCCCCTTCGCTGCTTCCCAGGGCTGTGTCCGTACAAAGTCACGGTGACACCAGGTGTAATTATGTTGCCGCAAATAACAGGCACAGAGTAGTCACGCACTCAGGCGGCAGGGGTCTTTGCGAACAAAGGATGCTGGGAGTTGTAGTTTCCTAGCCTACTGCTGTAGGGGACTTGCAGCCTTGCAAGTGCATCTGTTGGGACCAGGACGCTAGAGCTCAGGGCAATTGCACCTGTATTCCCCTCCATGCTCCTGCAAGGCCATGAGCAGTAGCTAAGAGGGGCCTGTGCCACACCCCTGGGAAACTGGGATTCGTCACTCTGGGGCTTATGTCCCTGTGAAATGCGTGTTCATACTGCACCAAATCACACAATCGATTGCGTTGATGGCCTCGGGGATCATGTTTTGAGGTTGGGAATTGAAGAGAGCAGATGCATAACTGCAAATGCATCAGGGCTGGCCGGTGACAGGGGCGCGGCACTGTATCTACTTGGGAAACAGAGCCATCAAGCACTCCCCAGAGAGCTGGGGGCAGCATGACCACATGGCCACAAAGTATTTGCTTGTCTACACGGCCTGTCAGCAGCCAGAGACAAGGAGCCTTATTCACATGAGAGACAAACAAAGGCAGGAGGGAAGCAGTGTGTGGAGAGCTGACCTAACCTCCATGGGGGATGGAGGCTGGCATCCCAAGAAGGGTTCCTGCCTCTTGAAGCAAAGTCAAAGTACGTAGAGAGAGGCTTTTCAAAGGTTTATTGGGCTATAAAGGGAGGGCAGAGAACCAGAGGGACTCAGGAGGCCTGAGCCAAGGGGTTGAAGTCTCAGGAAATCGTAGCAGGCAAAGATTGCAACTGGCTGATGCCGAGTATTAGTCTGAGATGCATGTTCCTGTTTGTATTTGCTTGTAGCCATTTCTAACTCCATCCTTCACACCTGAACTCACTTAAAATCCTGCCTCCTTTTGTTAATAAACCTCTTTGCCTTTTAATCTAAACCAGGCCAGGGCTGTGTTTGAACTGAAGCAATCGGGTAGAGTAATAAGCTATGCAATCTGTCTCTTTAGAGGAGCAAATTAACCTTATTATTCCTTTGAATGATCCAGGAAAGGTCTGGACACCTTGGGGAAATTAAGGCCTGGGAGGGTGCTAGGGGTCACCTTGGCATAAGGTAACTGCGTGATAGAAAGCAGAGTGGCGCAGGTGTGTTGCAGGCCAGCTGCTGGAATCGGGGTGCTGAACCAGAGTTAAAAAGCACAGACCCTCAAGGGATCGCTCGCTTGTCAGCTGGCTGTTGGTGTCTGGGCTGTGAGCCACAGTAGCAGACCATCTGAAGGCACCCAGAGTAACTGGGAAGGTGACACAACCCCACACTGGTCTGGATTGTACACCGCAGCATGACCCATGTTTTCCTGCTGCAGTGTGATTTGTTGCATCAAATTACACCGTGGAGAGGGACGAGCCTGTCCGTGCAGGCGCCAGAGCTCTCAGGAACTGCTCTGAAACTGTGGGGTGAACCCCCGGGGAACACAGGATCATCCCAAACCTCCTTCTGCTCTGCCTTTTCTAACACAAACACAGAGCCGCACAGACATTTGCAAGTGACAAAACCAAACCCCTACATTCTATTGCCCATGCAATTCTCCCCAGGGAGAGGACAGAGAGAGAATTAACGTTAATTGCATCATTAAACCATGCCTGGAAAGTGCTCAGATAGCACGGTGATGTGGGGTGGGAATGAGAACCTGTATAGCATAGAATACAAAATGTACAGCTCTGGACAGGGCAAATTCAGCTCCTATGATTTCTCCCACTCAAAGGAAAAGTGGCTTAGAGGCAAAGCACAAGCACGCCTCTATTGGCTGTGGATTAACGTTAATTGCATCATTAAACCATGCCTGGAAAGTGCTCAGATAGCACGGTGATGTGGGGTGGGAATGAGAACCTGTATAGCATAGAATACAAAATGTACAGCTCTGGACAGGGCAAATTCAGCTCCTATGATTTCTCCCACTCAAAGGAAAAGTGGCTTAGAGGCAAAGCACAAGCACGCCTCTATTGGCTGTGGCCAGTT